ATAGAGCAAAGTTTCATGGAGGAAAAGCATTCTGGGCATGAAGATCAGTAGTTCTAGTCTTTATTAGCACGTCACCAAGCACGCCACCTCCTCTCCTGGCTTAATCTGGTAGCCTGGCTCATCACAGACAGCATTTGAGAAACCAACAGCTATATCAGGGAAGAAAGCTTCTGTTGGGAGAGCCCAAAGACCTGATGGCTGGATGTTTCACTCCTTGGCTACAGGGATCACCTTCCGAAAGGTGAGGTTGACTCTCGGGGCGAGGACCCTCCTGCGGACGGGCAGGCTGTGGTACCAGTACACGTTGGTGGGGTACTTCATCAGCAGCAGGCTGCCGTGGGCCAGCTGCAGCTGGATGGGCTTGATGTGCCTCGTGGCCTTCTTCCCTCTGGCATCACAGTGCCTGAAAACAAAGTCCCTGCAAGCCCCAAAGGACACGGAGGCGATGGGGCTGCGTGGCACCAGCTCCCGCTCGTCGTCCCGATGCTCCCCGATGTGGTCCTCGCCGTCTTTGTACCTGTGCACAGAGCAGAGGAAGGGGTTCTTCTACCAATCCACTTCATAGAATCATAGGGGTTGGAAGGGACCTCGAAAGATCATCTAGTCCAACCCCCCTGCCAGAGCAGGGTCACCTAGAGTACATCCCACAGGAAGGCGTCCAGGCGGGTTTGGAATGACTCCAGTGAAGGAGACTCCACAACCTCTCTGGGCAGCCTGTTCCAGTGCTCACAGTAAGAAAATTTTTCCTGATATTCACCTTGAACCTCCTATGCTCCAATTTGCACCCATTACCCCTTGTCCTATCACAGGTCATCACTGAAAAAAGCTTAATTCCATCTTCCTGTCCTGACCTGAAGGTCACCCCTCAGACTCCTTTTCTCCAGGCTAAAGAGACCCAGCTCCCTCAGCCTTTCCTCGTAAGGGAGATGCTCCACTCCCCTCATCATCTTTGTAGCCCTTCACTGGACTCTCTCCAGCAGCTCCCTGTCCTTCTAGAACTGAGGGGCCCAGAACTGGACACAATACTCCAGATGCTGCCTCACCAATGCAGAACAGAGGGGGAAAAAATGAAGGTAAAACAACCCGCCCCTGGTCTGTCAGCAGGGTTGCATGAGGAGTTTTTTTGTTGAAAGGAGTTGCTTGGTGTGGCTGGAAAGCAGACATACCTGTTAATGAGAACGAAATTAAAGGTGTGTCCTGTGTGCAGAGCCACACGGTCTCTGATACGGTTGAGAACTGGGATCCAAGGTTTTGGAGAGAAGGTAACACCTGAGTAAGTGTACGTCAACCCGGGGTCTCCGTAGGTCACCTGCTTCCTTGGGATGTCGTGCCATTTGCCAAACACGTGCAGTTTGGTCATTTCACCTGTTCAAACAAGGGATGGGAAGGATCAGAACCAACCCTGTATTACTTCTGAACATTTCAACAACCTCCTTGACCTGGAGCTTCTGTGAAGCAGAGACCAGGACATTGATAACACAAAACCTGTCATCTGTCTTCAAGTGTTTCTGTCCAAATAAAGCACTTAACTCTCAAGTTTGACACTCCTTTATGAGGGATATACTTTTATGGTGACCTGGCAGTGCTGGGTTAATGCTTGGACTGGATAAGCTTGAAGTTCTTTTCCAACCCAAAAGATCCTGTCATTCCATGCACCTTGAACGGGATGAACTGAGGGTTGGACTAGATGATCTTTAAAGGTCCCTTCCAGCCCAAAACATTCTGTGATTCTACAAACAGGACAAGCACCCCCATCATATTCTGTTGTTGAACTAACGTGATCAGTGATATCCCATACTCTACATCTACCAACAAATTCCTGTCACCGTTCCAGGATTACCCCAGTCCTCAGCTCACACCCTGAACGAACCCCCTTGACGCACACCTCAGGAGAAGCAAAACTAGCCCTGCTTCACTTCTAAGAGCCAGATTTGCCAGCACCAGGCGCCCGCAGAAGC